GGCCTATAATTGACAAGTGCATTGCCAATAGGCCTGCCCGAGGCCTAGAGGAGGCTTCTATTTATTCCTCACTCCTTCATAGAAATTAGACACAGGACTTACAGCTGCGTATCAGTATCAAGGCCTACTATTTACTACTACTACTACTACTAGGCCTACTACTACTACTACTTCTACTACTAGGCTATTGGCTTAGTACTACAGACTAGTCCTAGGCCAAAGTAGGTTCGACCGATCAAAATGCCTTTTCGCTTTGCAGCGGCCCTGTTTCATTGGCCTAGCTAGGCCTAGCCTAGCTAGGAGCCTAGGATAAGCTCCTCCGGCTTCCTTCGCTCCTCCTAGGCCTTGGCCTAGCGTAAATTAAGTTTATATTACCATAACAAAGCGTTTCTCCTACACTTATTCACATTTCAAAAATAACCTCCAAAACAAACCCGTAATCAATGTGGTTGGTGCTGCATTCAATCAATTATTACAAGAGATTTATTGAGTTGAATCATAGAATAAGCGTCCACCGTTTCCAGTCGATCGGGCCCTCAACAACAACAAAACTACCCACCTGTGTCACAAACAAACAGACGCTAAAAATCGGGCTCCCATTGGTCAGTATTTGAAGCTATCAATTTCAAGAGGGCGACAATTAATGTAATATCTTTCAAAGGCAGAATTCGGTTCGGAATCATGTCGTCACACTCAGACCACTTCGGTCCTTTTTCTACGTTACCCTCAGCCTAACATATTAAAAATATTTATTGAAACGTAACAGAAGAGAAATCTGACAGAAAGTCCACTTACTTAAAATCTCATTCCCCTCCCTAAAAAGAGCACCCACTGCAATAATGATTTTGTTAAATCCCTCCCACCCCAGAGTATTTACACTCTTGTGAACTGAATGGACAATGCACTTTAAGAACTCAATAAATCATTCCTAAGCTTCCATGCTCTCTTAACATGAGATTTGCAAAATTTATCAAAATATTTAATTTTGTGAAAAGGTCACTATCCCTAGTGATAAAATACTCCCAAACATTTAGAATCAATATTAACTAACTTATTTTAAAACGTGATATTCTTCAATTCTAATGGTACCGTATTTAGTCGATAATACATAATATGAATAAGAAATGTTTTATATCTTCAACATCATATTTACAGATTTGGCAAGTGCCATTACTGTTGGGTACGCAGGGTACCCAACATATTATAAGCACTATAGGAATTCTATAGAATATCAAAAAAAGTCTTTCTAAGCAACATTGATATTTTGTTACGGAAATAATAAAACGAATATAAACTCAGATTTGTCTTCTTTTCATCGCCTATTGAACAGTCTATTTAATAATAGTAATTTGCAATTCAACTTTATTTTTCCTTAAATTGCGAATGCCTCTACAATAAAGAAAAAAAAAGTATCATTTTAAAGAAATTCAAATAAGAATAGGAAATAAAGTGATACTGTAGTACAAATAAGGGCAAGTAAGATTTAAGCTATAATATGGAAAGATGATAAATGAGGTCTGTCAACTTCCATGAATGGAGGAATGTTCCATGTGGCCCTCGGAATCGATTTGCGAGACGACGTAACACGACGACGTGACACGGAACGGATTCACTAATGCGTGACCAGTGTGACCAGTCACAATTTTTGATATATACCCAATGACTGGGTCGAAATTACCCGAGATTCAGCAAAAATTGCTTAAAATTACCCAAGCTTCTTGAAAATACATTAAAAAAAATACATTAGAAAATACATTTAAAAAATACGTGTTTTTCGCATGTATAGTTTCCCTTTTAGTTCAATTTACAAACCAATTTTTTATTGTAATTGTTTGTGTTAATTATTAAAATTAATATTCATGAGGTGATAATACGGATAGAAAAATACGCCCTCAGTCAGTCAGTGTTATCAGTAGATCAGTGATGAAGTTTAATTATGTAAATGCATTAATTAGGTAAGATCAATGGCAACGCAAATCACAAATAAACAATTCTGAACCCATGTTTATAGCAATTAACAATGCTATGTGCACTTCGTTGAGTCTTGCTTACTTAAATGGACTGAAAAATACTTTGTTACTTCTTAATTCTTCCTCTATGACAAAAATATTTAATTTTCTTAGTAAAATAAAATACCCAAGGATTTGAACGGAATACCCAAGCCCAAGTAAAAATACCCAAGATCTTGGGTAAATACCCAAGCAGTGGTCACGCTGTGCATGACCGTTCTGAGCTCTCTATGCACTGCACAATGTAGTTAGATTCGGCCAAATTGCGTCAAAATTCACTCGAAAATGAGTTAATCAGGTGATGTCATTGCGTTCTTCGTCTTACCGTCGTTCAATCGAACGCTCCCTATTGAGGGAGACAAACGAAAACTGAACTAAAATTACTTATTCAAACACCGGACAGACTGAAATCGAGACTGGCTTAATGCAACATATTAAGAAATTTATTGGCAAATCACTTAACCCAAATGAGAAGCTCCTGTTTATAGACCAATTGATTATTATTATTATTGTACAGTATAAACCTGTTGGAATTAATTAATTTTCTTCAAGGTCACCCTTATTCGAATCGGAAGCAATAGCCAGGGGCCGAAATTAAATACAACTAAATATTGAAAGATTATAAATGATATGAAATAGTCTAAAAAAATATAAAAAAGTGTAACGAATTTAAACGATAATACAAAGCCAGATAAACGTAATTATGGTTCTTTGTCAACTCCATCAAATTTTATGTGACAAATTATTTGCGATGTGCCCATATTATATGGGAATATGACAATAGCCGCGACTGGTCGTTCTTCGTTAAACCACGCCCACCTGCGCAGTGGTAAAATCCTACTTAACGAAGACGACCAGTCGGATACATGATGCGTAATCAAGGCTCCTTCGGATTGTGGCAGTATGGGTTTTTCGTAAAAAAATGTTTTCATCGTTAGCCTACAATTATTTTTTGACTTCACTGTGGGTAAATATTATAATTTTTATTTTCTGAAATTTAATCTAAATTTATATTAACGCAAATGTTGTTGCTAAACTGACCAATCGGCCATATTTTTTTGGTCACGTGCATAATTTAACGCTGATTAACGCATTTTGGTTACGTTAATTTTCGTTGTCAACGAATTCTATTTTACGAACCAGTCGAATGACAAAAATACTCAACGAAAATTCGTACTCAACGAAATGAAACAGTCGAATAATATATTATCAAATATACCCTCACATTTGCAAGATAAGAAGGCTTTAAATTGTTATTATTGTTACTCCTATGATGATGTTGCTCTACTGTCTTAAGTAGGCCTACGCCAACACCTCAACATTCGCGTATACGATTGTCTGAAGTGTTCGCTACGCCATACGTAGACAATAGGGTCGAAAGTCGAGTTAGCCAACGCTAATATGCTAACCACTTGCCAAACTTCAACCGGACCAGAAAAGTCTGCATTAAAAATCATAACCAATGTAATTGGTAGCCAACAGACTACAAATATAATAAAAATTATAAATAAGTTAACAGATAGGAGTACTTCATTTCTTAAATTTATTTTTGCTTGACGTGTGCTCTTCGGATCCTTATTAGGCCTATCCCTCGGAAGCGTTCGCTGAACATCATGTTGTTCATCTTCAGTCTCTGATAGACCACCACCGGTCATTGTTATAAATTCGGATGTGCGGTGGTTTGTCGGTTTATCTAACTCAGTTACTGGTACGTTAGCGTACTGCACTTTGTCTGCTACAGAGGCTCTAGGACTTACACTTTGAGGAATGTCAGGAGTTATTGTAGAGTCGGGGCGCTCGATGCGGATACGACTTGCCCTCACCGTTAGAAAAATATTCGTGTAGCAAAATATGATGACAATCAATACTATGGGGATGTAGGTTAAAAGTAATATTATTTGGTACCGATACCCTACGTCCGTCGCTTCATTGGTACATGATAACATAGAAGTGTTAAATCCAAACACACTGGCGCCGAGGATAATCGGGATCAGGATGCCTATCATTGGTGGAACCCACGCCATCACACAGAAAAGTAATGTTCGTCTTGGTGTAAATATCTTCTTATATTTCCTGAATTTTACAATACAGAAATATCTATTAACCGCTATCAGGGTTAGATTCGTAACCGAAGCTTCGAGGCAGAAGACGGACAATGCACCAATGATCTGGCAGACGATATATGCGTCTGGCAGGAACCATTCCCGATGCCAAGCTGACACAACGTATATCGAATCCGTTATCAGACAAGGGATCAAATCTGCTATAGCTAGGCTGACGACCATGTAATGTGCAGGTTCATGAAGACGCCTATTGTTCAAAACTGCTAGGATGGTCATAGTATTTCCAACTGAACCCACAATGGACAATAATGCTATAATAATGCATTCAAAGATAACTGCAACATTCTGATCCGCGTCTGTAAAATTCCCGGTCATCGTCAACATCGGCTGTGGAAGAAAAACAAAACACAAAGCATCATTGACTTGCTGAATTTTATTCAACCATAACAATTGGCAGACATTTCGTTTTTTTGCTGCTATATTACCAATGATGCACGTACCTATTAAAAACCATAAATCGTTCGGTCCTAGTCCTATCAGAGAGTGGTCGAATGGACTCGAAATTAACAACTGACCAATCAGACAGGGCTAGTAATCAGGCGAGTAATACGCGTTTGTCTCACAAACACGCTGGTGTTTTGTGGGACTTTAGCAAGGGACTGGGCTTCACGGATAAATCGGTATTTTTTTATTGATTTTGTCATACGGTCACATTTTGGATATAATTTAGTACGGGTTCCTATGCTTTTATTCTGTGTTTTATTGCGGTAATTTCGTTTTTATTGTAAAGATAAAGACAAGATTGACAGAATTTTACAGACTAAGTACACATGGTCCACTGAACTTAAAGGCATTTTAAAATTTACTTCGAAGTTACATAATGCTCACTTGTTTGACCGAAGTGCACGAATCCTTGGTTTATGTTATAAATTTGATGTATTTGCTGTGCCTTTGTTATTGTATTTAGACGTATTTTGATGTGTTGCTTGTGGTTTTTTCTGGGGTATTATCGTTTTTTCCACTAAATTGAGGACTTCGCTTGCGTTTAGATCGTTAGGAAAGGGGCATGTAGGCCATGCCTACATTCAGGCGTGGACCCTATAGGGGGCGATTTCAAAATTTCAATGTGATATGGTATCAATGTTATTGAGATAAGCGCTACTCACTTATCTATTCTGAACATTTTGCGCAACCCCCCCCCCACACCCACCCACCGCCCACGTTTGAAAAATTCTGGATCCGCCCCTGACACTGGTAAATTTTATTCTACAATGATTGCTCTAATGTGATACTAATGATTGAATGTTATTTTAGAGACAAATTTGAAATTCATTAAGTTTGAATACAGATTCAAAACAGACAATTTCAGCGTCCGTATTGGGGGAACAAAACGGCCTGTAAACGTATTTGAGAATACAGTACGTGTTGTAATACAGGGTCACAGAATACGGCACAAGTACAATCTTGTACCATAAAAGAGAGGCAAACAGAGACAACTATAAAACATCTTCATATTAGAGCAGGCATATAGTGACCTAAAATATAATTTTAGGTCATTGCATTGCGGATCCAGGAATTTATGATTTAGTCAATCAGATATGGCCGGAAAGTGCGTGTGTGTGTGTATATAATATCACCGCGGAAACCTATGATCACACTAAAAGCTTTTGCATCTTTGGATATAAATTTTTTCATTCTCTAATTATGTTTAGAATCCAATTTTGAAATATTCATAGATCAGAAAAGGTCCTTTGATACGGTCACTTCAATTAAGATATTATATCTAGTATATAGTATAGTATTTCACATTACTGTAATAGTGAATAGGCCTACTTGTCAATTCTGGTAGGTCTGAATCCCGTATTAGAGATGATTAAATGGAGTTTGATACCATCCACATTTTTAATCTCGTTTGTAATCTATAATCTTGTATCAACCGTTTTATTTAAACTATCCTAACCCCTTATATTGAGTGGCTTTTACCTTGTTTGGGGTGACTGGGCATAAACAAAAGGGGGAATATTTTCATCGTAGAGAACTAAGGACCGATAATTGGACCTGTATTTTTTTGACCTAGAGAAGCGGTAGATCTATATAACTTTTTTACAAATTCTTTATATCTTTATTCTTTAAATTCTATAGAAAGTTTATGAGAATTGTGATGTATTATATATATTTTTTCTATAGCATATTCATAAAAAAGCAAGTCTATATACTTATATTTCTCAAACAGGTTCTATAGAATTCATATAGACACCCTATATAATTTTATAGTAAGTGAGCTATAGTAGAAACCTCTCCCCCCTCCTTTTGAAATACAATTTGCCCTCCGATTTGAGACCACTTTGGGACCTAAAAATTGGTTCGGTCTCCAATTAAAGGGTTAGCTTTGTGTTAAATGATAGAAGATTGTTATTTCGTTCTTTGCAAAAGTGGTTCTCAATTTAGACGGTCTTTAATTGGAGGGTACACAGTATTCAGGGACTACCCTATTAAGGGTACACGTTTCCGCAAAACCGTAAGAGGAAAATACAGTAGGCAATTGAACCACACGCAAATTCATACAGAAGGACATTTTAAAGATGCAGAATCTCCAGCATGCTGAAGGCGGCAGCATACAAAGAGAATAAGAAGATACCATTGTGAACTTTGACGAAGAGAATTGCACCAGCCAGAATTCGAACCCACATCAAAAGAAAGTCTATCAAACAAGGCTTCAGATATATCATAGTATAAGCATTATAGCAACTCTATAGAATATGTATAGAAGTGTTGCTATTTAGCAATTTTGATATTTTGAATAACATAGCGAAAGCTCATACAGATTTTTTTTTTCTCGGCACCACCTATTGAACAATAAATTGACTTAATTTTATCGTTTTCCCATGATTATGACGTCATTTGATTTGATTTGTGAAAATATTATTTGTTATCGTATACACAATAAACCGTTACCAAATCGTGGTAGTGTGAGAACTTCTCATATTTCTTTTATTTTCTATATAAACAATTGCTTTTTAGCTTTTTTTATCGTTATCGTTACCATTGCAAGTATAAACAGGACTTTACGGTGGCTGAACAAGTATGCGGTAGAAAAAAAAAGCAGATATGAACATCAATCTAATAAATGCATAGTACAATATCAAGACTTTGATTTGACCAAAAAAAAGTATCCATCGATATTTAAATTCATATAATTGACTTAAACCTGTCTGTATCCAGAATGATTTTCTGGACGCAATTAAACATATAGATTTTGGTCCACACATCGACAAGCAGTTCTTGGCGTTGAGCAGCAAATAAGGGACATTTAATAAAGTAGGGCAGTGGGTCGTCTACTCCATTTACCACATTGACATGGTGAAAAATTCATTTAATTGACTTAAACCTGTCTGTATCCAAAATGATTTTCTGAACGCAATTAAACATATAGATTTTGGTCCACACATCGACAAGCAGTTCTTGGCGTTGAGCAGCAAATAAGGGACATTTAATAAAGTAGTGCAGTGGGTCGTCTACTCCATTTACCACATTGACATCGTGAATCGGTATGAAGTCCATACTTGAAAAGATGGGCATTCAGGCTGGTGAAACCCAGTCTGATTATAGTATGGATTCATTTGTTCCTTTTATACCAATATCATGATACGATATGATTACTGGATTTCAATCTTTGAATGCTCTTTTGAATGAATTTAAAGTTGGACAGCTTTGGACTTGTTGTTCCATGCTATAATGACAGGAGGAGAGAAAGATTGTTTATAAGATGTGGTTTTGCAAAGTTGGGCTCTTACATTTTTTACATTACGTAGATTATGTTAAGTAAGGAAAAGCAAGCTTATTCATGGCCTTAAGGAAAATGCATAATTTAAAATAAGTTCGTCTGTCTTTCAGTGGGGGCCAGGCGAGTTCTGTTCGAATAGCATTGTGGCTCGTATGTTTCCATGTTTTATCGACTTTTATTTTGAAAAGACTTCGCTTTTTCACTCAAGTATTGAGACATATTATCCCAAACTGGAGCAGCACACTCGATTAATTGGCGGATACATATAAGATAGATATTTATTAGTGTAGACCGTGACATAAACCTTTTTACTCGGTGTAACATATTGACGGTTGTCGCTTTATTCAATACTATTCATGTGAAAATTCCAGAACAGATCTGAGCTTAAAGTCACACGTAGATGCTTATAAGAATAGACAAATTTTAACCATGAAGTTTAGAAGTTTCATTTTACATAAATTTCTGCAAGGATAACTGATAGACAAAAGTTATATAATTTTACCTTCTATGATTACAATTTTCTAAAGAATTGCTTATAACAGACTGCAATCTTATCTTGAAAAAAAAAATCAAAATTCTTAAAGCACAATATGGTTTCACTAGAAAATTCTCCCCAAGTTTGGCTGTACTAGATCTTGTAGAAAACATTACTTCAATAATCGATTTGTAGGCCTCTGTTAATTTTAATTTACTTAAGTGATATTTTAAATTTTACTAATATTTTATGTTTCATAACTTTTTCTGACGACACCAATCTAAAACTATATTTACAACAGTAAAAAAAAAAACACTTAAACAAAAATACAAACCTGATAAACGTAATTCAATTGCGTATTATAGCAACTCCATTCACTCTTAAACCAAATTATCATCATTAAATTCAACTAAAACCAAATAGAGAATATTATTTAGGTTAAATTATAAAGAAACAAGCACAACCCTTTTGCTGTAAAGTTGTAGACATCTTTATCTTTTATTCCCGTGCATTAACTAAACTCAAAACTTCGAAGTATGCTTAAAGCATAATAAAACCAAATGCAAAAGAAGTATATATTATTTAGGTTAAATTAGAATTAAACCAGCACAGCCGTTCTACAATAGTAAAATTTTTCGGAAAACGTCGAACGTTTTGCAATTATGTAAGAAATTTATAATCCAGTTCAGCTTTGATGAAGCGTCTTCTCGTACTTCCTGAGTAGGTAAATATAAAAGTTGTAGAGTTAAATTAAACGATACTATAATGCCAGATAAATGTGTATTAAATAAACTCGAAACTTTGAACTAAAACCGAAGTAAGCTTAAAGTCAATTAAAACCAAGTACTGTACAATGGAAGGATATATTTATGTTAAATGAGAAATTAACCAATCCAACCCTTAATGTAACGTTAAAAGTCACTCAATCAGAAACCCAATCGTACTATGAGGATCAATACGAAAGTGCAAAGCTATATCAAAATAACATTAATAAACATTAGCTCGAAAGACTTTATTTTCAGGACAGGAGGCAGTATTTACGATGGAGTGCGTTTGGGAACATTAAGTAAGGGACCCAGGGGCCGTCTATGACAGGGACAAATGTTAGGAATCTGGGGAAAATCCCCTGGAAACCCTAACAAAATAGCATTCTAAAGGCCTTACAGTATTATTGATTTCTGAAACCCTTCGTGAAATATTTAAATTTCAATTCATTTGGTTGTTAAGGACCTGAAGAAGTAAAGTTTTATGTCCATTTCATCTCTAGGTCTACATTATAGCATAGCTTTTGATCATATGGAAAATTGGGAACGATTTTAGTGAATAATAGGTTTAGGAAGTGGACCTTTTGAAATCTGATGGCGGGCCTGTTGTTAGTACTTGTTGTGTCTTTTAAGTATGCCAACACCTCAACATTCGCTTATACGATTGTCGAAAGTGCTTGCTGCGCCATACGTAGACAATAGGGTCGAAAGTGGAGTTAGCCAATGCCAATATGCTAACCACTTGCCAAACTTCAACCGGACCATAATAGTCTGCATTAAAAATCATATTCAATGTAATTGGTAGCCAACAGACTACAAATATAATGAAAATTATAAATAAGTTAACAGATAGAACTACTTCATTTCTTAAATTCAATTTTGTTTGACGTGACGTGCTCTTCGAATTGTTATTCTCCCTTGGAAGCTTTCGCTGAACATTATGTTCCTCATCGTCAGTCTGTGAGAGACCACTGGTCATTGTTATCAATTCGGGTGTAAGGTGGTTTGTCGGTCTATTTAACTCAGTTACTGATACGTTAGCGTATTGCTGTCTGTCTGCTACAGAGGTTCTAAGACTTACACATTGAGGAATGTTGGGGCGCTCGATACGGAGACGACTTGCCCTCACCGTTATAAAAACATTCGTGTAGCAAAATATGATAACAATAATTGCTATGGGTACGTAGGTTAGAAGTAAAATTATCTGGTACCGCCACCCTACGTCCGTCGCTTCTATGGAACATGATAACATATAAGTGTTGAATCCAAATACACTGACGTCGAGGATAATCGGGATCAGGATGCCTATGATTGGGGGAACCCATGCCATCACACAGAAATGTATCGTTCGTTGTGGTGTAAATATTTTCTTATATTTCCTGAATTTTACAATACAGAAATATCTATTGACCGCTATCAGGGTTAGATTCGTAATGGAAGCTTCGAGGCAGAAGACGCACAGTACACCGACGATCTGGCAGATGATATATGCGTTTGGCAGGAACCATTCCCGATGCCAAGCTGACACAACGTATATCGAATCTATTATTAGACACGGGATCAAGTCTGCTATAGCTAGGCTGACGATCATGTAATGTGTAGGTTCATGAAGACGCCTGTTGGTCAAAACTGCTATGATGGTCATAGCATTTCCAACTGACCCCACAATGGACATTAATGCTATAATGATGCATTCAAAGATAACTGCGACATTCTGCTCCACGTCTGTAAAATCCCTGGTCATCGTCAACATTGGCTGCAGAAGAAAAACAAAACACAAATTAGCATCATCGACTTCTGCTAGTTAGTCAACCATAACAATTAACAAATTATCATTATTGCTGCTATTACCAATGACAAACGTACTATTAAAAACCTATAGTCTATTTAATAAAGCCACGGACCATTCAGTCCCAGTCTTATCAAAAACAAGTCGAATGGAGTTTTCCGGAGTGTCAATCAGACAAGGTACAGACAAAGTACACATGGTCGACGGACTGTACTTTACCTTCGCGTTCCCCCATCAGCACCCCATTTCAAGACTTCTAGATACGCCATTGTGATTTTTCTATTGTTGTTAGACGTTATCAGAGGCTCATGAAGTGCCCAATAAACCCTAAATGAATATATGTGAAAGCCATTTGTTCTTAATATTTTTCTGGAATATTTTATAGAATTATTTCTGCTCGTTAAGATCCCATAAATAGTGAAATTATCTGTTAAAAAACCCCAGAAGCCGGGCCTTTTACACTAAAGGGCCCAACGATTATCTTGCACTGGGGCCCGTCACCTCTACGCCATTGGCAAAAACTACTATCTCTCTTCAGCTAAACAAATTTCAACATTCGTCATCATCATCATCATAATCATCGTTGTTGGTATTATTATTTCTTTTTTATATAACATATCGTATAGTAAGCCTAGAAAAACATAAGCAAATAAGTGTCAGTTGGTTATTAAATGTTATTGAAATCTTTTACCACGGCTTATACTTACGATTACTGTGGCCATGTTCCAAACGCAATGCAGATTCGATAAGTAGTGCTTTTTTACGGTAATGTTCTTCAACGACTTTGTGTCAAATGTTTAGTAAAGGAACTCCAAACACCGACAACACATTCCGTCTGGGATTTGAAGTGCATTTCAATACTTGGAGTATTTATTATACTTTCTTATTAATCAGTGGACCTTTCGGTTTCTGTATTTTCATTATTCATAGAAAACTATGTACAAAGTTTACTGACCGTATATCAATGCGCAGACCTATGATCCCACTAAAAACTTACGCATCTTCTGATATTTATTATTGTCTTTCTCCTATTTTGTTTTGAATACAGTTGCTGACATATTTATAGACCAGAAAAGGCTCTTTGATATGGTCACTTCATTATGATAGAGTTTCACATTACTGTAATGGTAAATAGACCTACCGCAGTTAAATTCTGATAGGGTTAAATCCCATAATATAAGAGATGATTAAATGGAGTTTGATACTATCCATATTTTTATCGGTTGTAAGTGATTCCATAATCTTGTATCAACCGTTTTGTTTCACATTAAGTGACCCTTTGCCTTGTCTGGGGTCACTGGACAATGGACATACACAAAAGGAGGAATAGTACACTAGGAAAATTACTATAGGTAAGATTTAATGCTTGAAAAAATTTCCTGAGGACCTGCAAGGCCTGAAGGAAATTTTTGAATGCATTAAATGCAATCTAAGTATAATTTTCCATTTAGTGTACGATGCATGCTCTACTAATTGCCGTCTTTTAATTTTAGTTTTTTTTTTTATAACCAACTGTTGTAGCAGTCATCGGTTGCTATAGTGATATGATCAGTATACATGTGTGCGTATTTACATTTGGCGTTTAATATGAATATGATTGGCAATTGGTTTAAACAAATACAGTAATTATAAATCAGTACGCCGATATGAGCACGCCTCGGGGGCGGATCCAAATTCTTCGTTATGGCATGTGGTGTGGGAGAAGGTTTTAATGGGGAGGGGGTGGAGGGGGTGGGATGTTAAAACCTGTTTAGCCCCACTAAACCCGCTCTTAACCTTAACCTTAAACTTCATCATCATCGTCGTCATCGCCACCGTCGACGGTAATGTTTGCGGAGAGACCACAGTGTTATGTACTTTTTCTAGCACTACAGAGTTTAATGCAGCTTAATGAATCTCTAGATGAAATTGCTTACACTATGCAAAAATGTACTGTACTCTATTTTAAGCATGCTATTGAATTATTTTGCCATTTTTTAAATCCACGAATAGGAATAGATCAGTTATTAGAGCAGCAGTACTGTAGTACGAACGTCTTGGGTTCCATTCAATTAGCAAGTTGCTAACGTTTTGTTGATATTTTAATCATCAGAATTTGAAATTAACTTCTGGCTCTTTGTGAGAAAACTAAAATAATGGAACTTTCCGGATGCGAGCAAACTTTACTGACCAAACAAACGCGTTATTAAGGCCAAGAATAATTACGACGCACGACCGCACACTCAATTATTGCTTTTCTCCGAATGGCTATCGTCTTGTGGGACCTTAGCAACAATCTCTATGGGGCGGGGCTTTTTGATTAGTAGTTGTCATCCAGTCACATTTAGGCTATAATTTAGTACAGGTACCTATACTTTTATTCAATGTTTGATTGCGGTGATTTAGCTTTTATTGCGATAATAAAGACAAGATTCAAAGCACATTACAGAATAAGAGATATTTATAGAATCACAACTCCTGTTCACGTTGTCACGGATCATATTTCTTTATTTCACTTTGTGCAAATGAGCTTTTGTTCACACATTTATTCAATCATTTCGTTCATTTTCGTTTCGTATTTCTGAAGTATACTGTACAAATAAGCACTTATTCACAGAGTAAGATTCAATATAAATATAAATTCAATCTGTTAAGCAGAAAAAAAATTAAGGGGTATATTGACCAAGTAACAAACACTAGTAACAACGCAACATCAGCTATGGTTCCACACGTTACTGTATTTAGACTAAGAATACTTCAATATACAAAACAAATATATATTGGTGACCAAGTGATAAACACTTAGCAAATCCAAACTTTCATTAATCTATACCTGTGCATAAACAAAAATAGACATTTCAAAACCTCAAAATGCAAGGTTTTTGTCCACAAATCTTGGAAACACCATTAATTATCTATGTTTATATACCGTCTTTATTCGAATAAACGTCCTCTTTAGAGCCTCACTTGGAAACTCCTCCCTTGAATGGATACCCCAGGCATTTATTTTTTCCTTGAATAAACGCCCCCCCCCCCACCCCCCAAAATGAAAGTAAACAAATCTAATGGAAGCAACATCATTCTCAACACATTCGATTAATGTTCTACTCCAGTGGAATTATATTTTGTTTTAACCTGGTTGGGAATCCATAAGTCTTTATGATCACGCAATAACACATTTTGACGGTAAATATCTGTTGTAGATCCACATTTACAGTGAAATTAAGGGTTGTTTGAGTATACATCCATTTTACTTTTAAAAAAAATGAAAGCCTCCCTTAAATAAACACCCTCTCAAAAAACCCTTCTCTAAATAAATGCCATTCAAATAAATATGGTAGATGAAGAATGATGTATATTTATTCAGATGAAGATAATGATATATAGCCTCAGGTTGACAAGCTCAACCTGAGGCTTAATAACAATGGAAATAGTTGAATCAATAATGAACAAATCAAAAATAATATCATAAATTACACAAATTTTCCCCCTCCCCTCCAAAATTCTTGTTTTGAAATTTTTAAGGGTTCTGTTTTGCAAAATATTTGCTGCCTAGGTGTCCCACTTTTTTTTAATGAGAAGACAATATGATTTTATTTGAAAACAATAAAAGCTATCAAATTTGTGTACTACTGTATATCCACAATATTGCAATAAACTGTCTGTACACAATTAACAGTATTACCCAAATAAGGGAAGTAGGCACCTACAGTATGGAACACATCCTCAGCTCTCTGGGGAGCCTGTTTCATAAGCAGCTAGAATCAGTGCTTGGTATCACACCCTACCAGGTACCCATTTATACTTTAGGGTGGAGAGCAGTGGTGTAATAAAGCTCGCTCATCCAGTCACTTCCCCCACCCCCGATTAAATATGTCAAAAGCAAAAAAATCAAGCTCATCAATTAGTAAAAAATCACCTCTTATTTTGTGATCTAGCTCTTGCTCACTTAACACCCATTTCAAGATTCCAAGATATGCCACTGGTTGATAGGGAAAATCTGGAATTATGTGCCTTGCCCAAGGATAAAAGCAAAATGCACAGGAAGAAACTCCACACCACAACGATAACACTGAGATCACGAACCATAACCACACCCAGTACCCTCCAACAGTGTACCTTGAATAGATTTAATGCATATTGTTTTTTGGGTTTTTTTTTCCTTAATTACATCACAGGTAAAGTTCATGAGGTGCTAGCCTGTGTCATAAAGACTGCAGGAATCCAAGTAGAGGGGACTGCTGTGCGTGTTGCTTTTCTTGCGTGTTTTGGTCAAGCATCAGCTGTAATTTTGAATGCTTATGACGTTTTGCTGATCGTTTCTTGGCTGATGAACTGGGTGTCGACAAGGATTGGCCATGAGGTGTTCTGAAAATTGAAGGCAAAAATGAAGTATAATAATGAAATATATCTATTATATAAATATAAAAATATATATTGATACATAATAATAGGATCTGAAACAGATGGAATGCTTTGGAGCAGGCGTATGTAATGAAGTGGACTGCTAGATCATGAGGAAATGTAATTTATTCAATGAATATTAGATTATTACTAGTTTATTAATAAACATGTAGATTCTAAGGATGTAAATTAATCTTTTATATAAAGTGAAGTGAAGTAATTCACATGAAAATGGCAAGAATTTGCTGTAATTGTTGTTATTGTTGTTTCAGTGATAAGAAAAGGTACAAACCTGTCTTTAGGTCCACTTGATTTTGGAGTATGAAAGAGTGATCTGACCGAAACAACAGGCGTTGATGGGAGCGCCTTACAGCACTCTGTCGTTTTACGTTTCACGCAAGCTGTTTTACTACGTCCACAACTGCTGCAGTTTATGACCTTTGAAGAATCCATACATACAATATACAGTAATATCTATAATAATAAATCACTTATAGAAAATAATCACAAAAATAATACATTCCTTGTATCTATTTACGGAGATTATATATTTCAACATCCAATCTTCAGCAATTCCATTTTGATTTTACAGGAATCTACATTTACATTGGTTGGATATGTTTCAAATCTTTATTTCAGCAATTAAAAGCCATATAGAATACAAATTACATAAAGAACATGACAAATGCAGAAAACAGAGTAAAGCATCACAAAAATTCAAGTTTCATCCATTTTGAGTGAAGCCCTGAACAGTTTTAGTACAGCTCTTGTATAAAATACTAGGATTTCAGTCAGTTTTATATCTATGAGTATTGAAGGAGGGGTTGGGGGGAAAGACTAATGGGAGATGTGAAGGTTAAAGGAGGGGGGAGGACTTGATTATTATGCAAGGGGTGACATTTGCTAGCAAATAGGGTGATATGAGATTATTTTTTAACTACAGTACTTCAGCATCATTTTTTTGGTTCAACAAATTTTCTGAGTGGGTGCCTAGGAAAAGCAACACCAGCAGTTACATCATGCCACTGTTTGTAGTGAACAGTTTGTAAATCATAAAAAGCTGAAATTATTACCATCAGTATCTCTCATTGAAAATGGATAATTTATTTCATTTTTTTAATATGCAATTCAAAGATTTCTACATTTCTTTTTGAGGATTTTCAGGATTAAAAAAAAAAAATTGTTAACCACCAAACTACAGCTCCATTCATACAATATAATGTTGCAGCCGCCAGTGGGCACTTACTATTGGGCGAGTTGAATGGCCAAGCGGTAAGGCTGGGGCACCGCTAACTACAGCCTTAACATCGGCGCTGGTTCCAGCTGCTTCTCGACCAGGGTTCAGTTGGTAGAACCAAGTCTTCTCGGATAAGTACTTAAAATTGGGGCTGGCGTACACATCTAGCTTGTGCATCTTTTGGAAGTGTAGGGGGTTACCCCGATGCTATGGTTCATTTCAGCTCCTGTCATTGTGGAATGATGTGAACATGCAGCTACTATAAGCCCCTCTTTACGGCTGCTAGGTAGTCATGAACCACGCCCATACGCAATTCAGCACAACGACGCTGCAAATTATGGGATATTCTCCTACCTTCCCTTTATCTCAATTCAATTTAATGAAACATTTATTCATTTCCTTTTTGCATGCATAAAACAGAAAATGATTATTTTAATAATATAAAAGTAAGAAGTGCTAAAAAAGGAAGAAGGCAAAGCCCAAAGAAAAGAAGATATGCGGTACATGGACTTGTAGAATAAAAAGACTGACAGAAGAAATGAAACATCATGACAATAAATATATACATACCAATGCATTTGTACTCCTTTCATACCGTAAAATTGCTTTCCTGGCTTTGGAGCTCAGCTTGTTCCAGCATTTGAACTTATTGCATCGTCTTATTAATTTGAGCGTTTTCTTACTTGCTGGCTTCCTCGGCGAGATTTTCACAGAGTTGTTACCGAGTGACAGAAGTGAACAACAACGAGGACAGAGATGGCCTGTCATCTTATTTTCATATTCTGAAAAATATACAGGTTTCTTTACGAGGCTGAGGAGTGGAGATCTTGAGACCTGGCGGCATCGTCGCCATCATCGTCATGATGGTTATAATAATAATTGTTAACTTATATAATGCATTTTGTAAATTCCCCTCTTTGCATTTTTACAGCCGGAAGGTAAATTATTTAAAAATTCACCTTAATTAAAAAAATATCAACTAAATAAATATCATTAACTTGATTTATTACCTTACATACCTTTCTTTTCCTTTTTTCCTGACTCTTTTCTTTTTTTTTCTTTCCTTTCTTTTCTTTTATTCCTATTCTATCTTTTCCTTTACTTCCCTAAAATTTCTTTCTTTACCTTTCCACTTCCTTCTTTTATATTTCTATTTCTTTTTATTTCTTTCTCAGCTGGACCATTCTCAATATATTATAATAATTATTCATGTTTAATAATGCAATACTTACTTTTCTTTGTTTCATCCTCTTTACTGTGGGCTATACTGTCATTGAACATGGACCTACAAAGAATAGTTTCAATTATTATTATTTTGTGTATACAGTAGTACAGGATTTATGATTCCAATTTATTAGCATATATGTTTTAAGTACCTAAAAAGGCCTAGGCCTAAAATGATATTGATAAACTACATGACGCATCATTCAAGCCACAAACAATTCTATATTTGACCAGGGAGTCAATTACATTACAATCAAAAAGTTTGTTAAATACAGAAATCAGTATCACAATATATATACTGTACACATATTCCGAACATCCTCCCATCTCCCGAATTTCGTAAAATACTCCCTTATTTTTTAGAAAAGAACTCCCACTTACCAAAAACATCTAATTTAATAGTGCTTTTTTGGTAGGCCTGCTACAGTACCGATTTATAAATAAATCTGTATAAATTTTTCTTTGTATGCCTACTTTATGAACATTGTGGGCGTACACAGGCTTTAGGAGTGTTACCGACACCTCAAAAGATCTGAATGCCTGCATGGAAAAAAAATTAAATTTTCAACATTTCGGGGGTGTGGGGCACACACATCACCAGTACACCTTCAGTCCATACTGTAAGTTTGTTTAGTTGTGCAGATGATCAAAAACTAGCTCAAATTTGAGCAGAAAATCACCAGAGAAATAGCTGCACTGGATCGAAATATTGTTACTGTATATCAAGATTAGGTGAAAGCCTAACTTTCGGCAAAAATCTGCATTGAAATCGGCCCTTATTTTTCAAAATGCGCGGATGGATTCCTAGGCTAGGAGGCTCCTTTTGCGAGGAGGATATATTCATCGCACAGGTCTAAATCTTTACAGTCTGGCCAACAGTTTCCCGAATTAAAAAAAATAAATTCAATAAAAATTCAATAATCAGCTACATATAGTATCAATCTGCATTACAGAATACTAAAATTTGGGCTTTTGATGTTTTTACTACTGTTATTTGACTCTTTTTACTGAAGATTACATTTACACTCTATTATGGACCAGACGTCCATCGCAATGAGACTGACGTGGGCCTATGTCTTTCTCGGGTGAGTAACTGGGAGAGCGAGTCATCTAGCAAACCAAGGTCTAACCCTAGCATAATTTTTCCCTACTTACATCAAGTATCTGGACAGAGATGGCGAAGCTGAAGCATACATATTCGCAACATCGTACTGGTATTTAAGTGTTTCGTCCATTTTTTCTAATCAACTTTACACGACTTCAGAAAAGAAAATCCTAGGCCTACCTATCTAGGCCTAGGCCTACTCTCTCTCTCGCAGCAGCAAAAACAGCGACACCACACACCACAATATTTTTGCAAAAGTTAAAGATTGCCGCGCTTGTACGTAAATTTATCGCCCAATTAAAAATTTATCGCCCAATTAATCTCACGCAAAAACCACTCTTCAAACTACTATTCTCAAAAAACATCTACATCATAAGAATATAACAATAATCTTCCAACTTATTTCAGACTCAACTTTATGAAAAGAAAAGTCGATGACAAAATTTAAGTCTCAACTTCTATCCCGTCCATATAATATAATTTCTCAGTTAACAGAAACATAATCTAGGCATATGTTTTATTTTGCTTTTATATATTATTGATATTACTTATATTTTTTAAGACAAGTTTTTTATACTTATAATGTAGATTCCTACTCGTAATTTACTCATTTTTTATACTGTAGGTACACTTTAAATAAATGTTACTCTGTTACTCTAAAAAATTCGATCCTAATCATAAAATTACACAAAACTAAATGACATCTGAAAGGTCCACTGATTAATCTCAGATAAGATGGTATAATCACATACTACAACAAGTATAGAAATGTACGCCATCGTGTCGGGATTCAATTAATTATGTCATCATCTATTCTTCATCAACAAATTCGGAAAATACATTAAAAAAGATGAAAAGGGAAACAAAAAAGAACATACAGCTTATAAGCCCTAACATGTGTCGATGTCGCGTTGCATACACGGAATTCGCAACGAAAGACTACCGTAACGTGTCCGGACATAGAACATGGTCGCAATCGTCATCGCCGTTTCGAATCGTCGATGTATCTAACTATAACACTATATATGTACGGGGGTATGTAACTATAATACTGGATAGTGATACTATTTTTATTATTTTAATATTTTTATCTGTATTTAATTTTGGCCTTGTGATGTTTTTTGAGGTTATGCATTTTATATATTTTAATTATTTTTACAGGATATTGTTTGCATTGTATGTCAATGGAAGATAAATTTCCTTGTTTGTTTTGCGAGGACAATAAGAGGTGTTTACCTTTATCTTTATCAAATATGCTAACATTTCATAATGCGCGCGATCGATCATCGATTCAGCAACAAACCATTATTTTAATTTGAGATATTAGGGGAAATTACACATTGAATTAACAGGAAAGAACATTAAACTTTCTTTCATCGTATTTTATCAATGTGCATAAAGCTAGCCAATACATAAGTGCTAAGGGGAAAGTGCTGAAAACGGGCACCTTAGAGCAAAATGTTGATCGGAGCCTGCACATAGGCCTACTGCCACAAATGTAATTAATTCAAATATCGTTAAAGTAACTACCGGTACTAATAAACAAATACTCAAGGGACAAAGTAATGTCTAACTATAATATTTCAATGAATAAGAACTGATTGAACAACACTATTCAAATTCTCATTTTAGACATAGCTGTGTCTAAATATGGGCCACTACTTAATTTATCTAGCCTAAATGTTCAATCAAGCCCAAAACGACCCCCCACCGCCAAATAGCCTAAACGGGCCAACTTAGGTCTGATAAAATTGCATTTGTGTACTATACGGTACCGGTAACTATTCTATATAAACAGCCATTAATAAAACAAAATTACACTCAGTAAGAGATTGATGGTACTTCCAAGAAAAAAAAAATGAAAACAGTGAAATTTAGATACTTTTGCCGTAGAAATTGTTTATGGCTCAAACAACATGAAACATGGATCAATTATGAAATCATTAAGTGATGAAACTATAATAGTCAAATTGTTGACTATTTTAGTTTTTGTCCTAACAAATTGGTGGCAGCAGAACAGGTGGGGCGGGGGTGGGGGCGTTTTAGGTCGGTGGCCCGTTTTAGACACCTTTAGGCTGCGTTAGTGACGTTACGACAATAGTAAAATTTTAACAAAATTATACAGAACAGAGATACCATAGGTAATTCTGAATAAATGCCACTGCTGGTTCGTCACGTCGATGACTCATCGAATATGAAAGAACATAACCTTAGACCTTCAAAAGAAGCCTTATTTAATAATTCAAAAGTAGACATTGAAGAAACTTTTTAAACCTGTTACCCAACAAGTCCGGATCTAAAGTATAACCATGCTAACACTTATGCTGACGTACCTCTTGTTTTCGTGTGTATCTCGTACTCTTGCCGTTAAAACAAGTAAGCTGAAATTTATATTCTTAAGATTAACATTATTGGTGGGAGCGGTAAGGAAATAACCAAATTAACTGGGGGAAACTTACTGCATGACTTGCCGCGTTTTTTTTGGGTTCAGCGTGGCATTGAATTTAATATTTGGACGTTTTTCAAGAAAATGTGATTTTTCTTGATTATATTTTTAATCATTGTCTTATCATGCTGTATATTAGATTAGTAAATTTAATTACGACCCAGTTTTATGGCATTTAGGGGTCAAATACCGGTAAGGTCAAAGTCACCGTCAAATTACTTATTCAAGATCAAATATAATTTGCGTATAATAATTCTAAGAACAGTGGAACTCTGATCGTTTGTTGCTGCCTCCTAGACTAGAAAAAAAATCTGAAAAGAATGAGTTAGGGGGAGTGGAATGTTAGAAGCAATCCACATAGCCAGATATCCTAATTAATCCCTTCTGGTCACCCTAAGCCCTGTTGACACTTGATTTTACTTACACAATGGCGGCCATTTTGAAAAATGGCCGCCAAATTTATCTAAAATGTGCATAAAATTGAAACTAAATAAGCTACAGATATGATTTTGGTGTCTAAACTCATAATTTCTAGACAGGCAACAATCTAGACATTTAAAAACTACTGTCACTCAAGCAAGAATGGAACAAATAACAAAAACAAAAATAGGTGTTTATTTGTTTAAAAATAATCGCAAAATATACTTACTTAAAATGTACATAAAATAAGAACGAGTATACATAAGCTAGTTTTCTATGTAATCCAGATAGATTTTTGAGCAAAAATAGA